ACCTGGTGAGTACAAGGTTTGTTACCTTTGCAAACACAGTGTGAGTACTTCTACAAACACAGGTGTGTGTTTGTGTGTGTGTGAAAAAGAATAATTAGTTATAAGAACAAATTGGAGACTATTAAATACATATGACTCAAACCACTTCAATGCACTTTTTTAAATACCTTTTGTATACAGTAATACAAACAAAATGAGAGAACTTCGACAATCATACGACCCCTATGAGCAAGCGCTTTGGTGACTGGGAGGAAAAACTCCCTTTTAAAAGTAAAAGTGCGCACACACACGCTGACACACAAAATATATAAAGAATTCACCTATTGCCCCTGCGGAGAGTCTGTCCTTCAAGCTCACATCCTCTTCCAGAGGCCTGGGAGCTTGAAAGTAACGTATTTTTCAGACCATTAGGCGAACTGGATTATAAGATGCATTAAGCACTGAAGTTTGGTCCGTTTTCAGCGTCCTGTCATTTGACTGCATTTGTCCCTAACCCTCACTTTAACTTTTATCAAGTAGACACTTTTATCAAGTAGACAAAAGTTAGTGTTCATCCTCCAGCTTCACTGTGTTTATGTTATGCTAACATAGCTGTGTCGCTAGCAATCACTTAGCACATCATTATCTACCAGCTAGCCCAACTTCAGTAACCGTACAAAAGTTATTGCTGTTTAGTTTTCTGTCTTCATTTATGTTGGAACTGATAGCAAAGCTTTCATGAATTCTGTTTTCATGGATGCCTGGGTGTTAAACTTAATTGTTACACCTGGAAAAGCAGCAACGCTGATCATTTTATTAAGAATGAAAGCGTTCAGGCAGTTTTTAGCTCTCAGTGATGCTGCAGTCTTCGTTTGACTTTGGGACCTGAAGCGGACAGAGTTTTGGACCCAGATTACTCCGCGAGGCTCCTGACTACAGTAGCCGTAATGCTCCGACAATCCATCAAGCAGTGCGGCTTTGTAGGTTACCAATGTCGCACGAAGACATTTTTGACTGATTTTTGAGCCGTGTACAATCAGTTCAAGGTCGGTAAGCACAACCAGAATTCATACATAAGGCACACTGCCGATTTTTGAGAGAAATTAAAAGATTTTAAGTGCGCGTTAGATTGTGGAAAATACGGTAAAGTTCACTGGATGAAGCGTTTTCAGTGGGAGTAATGTTTGATCACTCATCCAAGTGACTTCTTCAGTCTAGGGTGGGTTTTTGTTTTCTGGTAGTTAGTTTTGGGATTGCTGACACAGACCGAGTTAGTCTGAGTTATATAACGTCAGATGATTTGCTCATGCTGACAAATTCTCGTCAGACAAGTAAAATGAGATCCCACAAGCTTTTACTAAATTTTGCATGCAATGAAAGAAAAATGTTTACTTGTGTTTTCATTGGGAGTAGAATTATAAGTGTGTGTGCTCACTGTTGCATTTCCTTTGAAAAAGCAGATCTCGATTACTATTGTGCAGTGGATGACTCTGAAGGTATTTGTTTTGACTTCTTTGCTTTAAATGGACACACTTGAATATGTACTGATTCTTTTCCAAGTGTAATTTCGATTTTTCTACTATTAATTTTAACTAGAGATGGCACGATACCACTTTTTTATGTCCGATACCGATACCGATATCATAAATTTGGATATCTGCCGATACCGATATGAATCCGATATAGTGTTTTTTAATCAACAAAACTGTTTTTTTTTAATATCTTGCTG